CAGTAGCTTATAAGCTTCAGGAGACAGGGACTGTTTTATCTTGTTTATATGGTAGTCAGTCGATAAATATTTGAGTAAATGAATAATTTCTTATTGACCCAGTTGAAGGAATTAATCCTGTCACCTGGCCTAGGCAGGTGGAATTTCCAGCTAGGGAGTTTCCAAGCATCATCTGTTATCTTGGAAGGGCTTTTCTACCCTTGCAGGACTCCCATTTTAAGATTTTTTTTTCTAGCTAACATACTAAACAAGATTTATTTATTATGATGATTTTGTACATGTATGTTGGCTCAGTTAGGGTTTTGTTGGAGAGACACTGTGACCACAGCAAATCTTATAAAGGAGAATATTTCATTGAGGCTGGTGTACAGGTTCAGAGGTTAGTGCCACTCCCTAGTGACCAGGCATTCAAATATATGAGTCGATAGGGGCCAGTCCCATACAAACTACATATGTGTTATCATACCTGCCTCATTTTCACCCGTTGCTGCTCTTGTCCACCTCCCAAGTAGTCTCCCTTCGGTTCTCAGTAGACCCTTATCACTATCCAGATCACATTTGATGGGCCCTCAAGGAGAATTCCTTAGTAGTTGTGTGTGTCGCCGGTCCCATGTCTCCAGTTGGCACTGTGTTGAATAAAACAAAACAGCACAGGGCATGTTTACTGTGTAGCTCCCGCCTTTGGAGAACATCAAAAGGGAACTGCTGTACCTGTGATGCCAAAGGTTGTAGGGGTCACAGTAAACCTATTCACAGACCAAGTCCTTCCCACAATCCATAGCCAAAAATGTGTGCTGGTTAAGTGGTCAGGGAAGACATCAAGAGCAGAAAATAAGCCATTTGGAGACAGTTATCTTGGAAAGAAACAGTAAAATATTCTCCTGTGTCATTAATATTCAGAACTGTCAGAAACCCTCACTCTTAAGCTCCAGGCACCACTAACCACTAACCCGAGACCACTTATTCAGCTCCCCAAGCCCCAGAGCTTCTGATCAGCTCGCTCCCCAGTTGGTGTTAATAGCTTTTACAGGAGAAATTATGGTGAGAACGACAGGCCCCTTCCCTTATCATGTCCAACACTGTGTCTCCATCAGCTCCTGTCCTCAACGATGTCATCAGCTCTGCTCACACCATGAGACGGCAGCCTTACTAATAATACACTTTTCCTGCTTGCTTGAGAACACACTGGCTGTGGAGAGAATTTGCCATTTAACAGGGTAGGACTCGTATAGCTTGTCACAGCTTTCAGTCGGAGCTTCAGATTTTCGTACGTTCACTGTGGCACATCAGAACAGGAGCGTCTGTATGTAACAATTTAGCTCGGCCTTACAAATGTCCTCTTACAGTGCGGTGGATAGCTTATGGTGATTTGTTCCATAGGGAATAATTGATATTGATGTTCTCTGTATCAGTGACACAACCGAAGTCTGCTGTATCCTAATCTTAATTTTGCTCAAAAGTCGCCTTTTCTCTATCATTATTCGAGTAAGTCATTTGTGATCTTATTGACTTTAACTTCTCATCTTTTCTTTTTTTCTTTCACATACCCAAATAAATGTATGTCAACAAATATACATTAGCTGTCCTATCCAGTAATATGTAAACTGTAAGCAGGTTTTTTTCCTTTGTTTTTTTTTTCTTTGTTTGTTTGTTTTTTTTTTTTTTTTTTTTTTTTTTTTTTTTTTTTTTTTTTTTTTTGGTTTTTCGAGACAGGGTTTCTCTGTATAGCCCGGGCTGTCCTGGAACTCACTCTGTAGACCAGGCTGGCCTCGAACTCAGAAATCCGCCTGCCTCTGCCTCCCGAGTGCTGGGATTAAAGGCGTGCGCCACCACCGCCCGGCTGTTTGTTTGTTTTTTATCACAGCAGTAGAAAAGGTAACTAATCTTTAAACTGATACGGAGAAGTGGTAAGCCCAACCGTGTGAGCCCCAAGCCTTTGGAACTTGTTTGAAAGAGGACTGTGGAAGATTTTGGACTTGGGGCTAGGAAAGTCCTTGGGTACTTTAAGCGGGGATTAGTGGATCCTTGTGGTGGGTGCTTGAAACACAGGAACATTGAAGAAAAATATGTACAGAGGTGGCTCAGCCCAGGAGGTCTCAGAGGAGAACAAACATGTTCTTCGGGACTGGCTTTCCGGCCCATGTGATATTCTGGCAGTGTTCTTCTCTATTTTTGAATACACAGTGGTGATAGGGGTATGTGCTCTGTGCCACTCTATATTGCAAGTGTGACACTTGGTTTTATTTTATAGAGCCTCACAGACAAGAGACTGCCTGGAGTTTCAGTGTTGGAATCAAAACACTATGTGGGCTTTCCAAATGGGACAGAAGGTATTCTGCAGGATTAAATAGCCATGGTCTAAGAGGATGAGAGTAGGAAGCTTAGAATTGAAAAGTAATACATTTGAGTGAAAAGTTGACAAGGAGAAGGATTGTGATTGGTTAATATTGATTGTCAACTTGACAGGGTCTAAATTCAACCAGGAGACAAGTATGCTTGCAAAGAATTATCTAGGTTTATTAGAGTAGAAAAATCCATTTTACTATGCTACTGTAGACTGAATACAGTGTGAGCAGTTGCCTCAGGTTCCTACCGCCATGACTGGCTGTTTCCTCAAAGTGTGAGCAGAAATAAAATCTCCCTTCCTTAAGTTGCTTCAGGTAGGAATTTTGTCTCAGCACTGAGGACAATAACTAAGATAGTCATAACACTGTGTTTTCAGTGAGAGTAGGATACATTTGAAGATTCTCTTGTCTCCCTTCCCTAATTCCAAGGCTCTCTTCTTCTCCCAAAGGTAAGCTCCCAGCTCAGTCTCTTCCACTCAGGATGTCTTCAATAAAAGGAGATGTTCTAGTGAGTGGTTACACGCTGGAAGGAAGAGTCACAGTACTCCTTAAGACAAGCTATATTTCTTTCTCTGTGGGAAATTTCTCCCTTTTGAGTGTGGTGTGAGATTCCCAGGTCTGATTAAGACAATAATCTCTCCTTTTGACTTTAGAAATGAACACTTCCTTGTAGCATGAATGGAGTAATAACAGCAGCTAATTTTCTTGTGGCAGGCCCTGCGTGTCACTGCTCACGGCTGCTGGATGATGTGGTGTACTCTTCTTCGCTAGTTTTAATTATATCAGAGCAATTAGATTATAACTTTAAACTCCTGAAAACCCATTATAAAGATAAGGAATTCATTTTACTGTATTATGCTCCAAACTGTAAATGAGATTTAAGATTAATTGTCTAATAGGTTGTATTTTAAATTGAAACCTTCTCCCATTTTATTTTATATCCATATGATTCACCATGAAGCTTGGCTTAAAGGTTTTCAAAATTACTGAATCTTTAAAAATACGTTCTTTTCAGTTAAATTGAAATCAATTTCTTTTTAAAGCAAAGCCAGCTTCATTTTATACCTTTAAACCACCACTTTCTCACTTCTAACTAGGTGGAGTTGTGTGTGTTATTGTTGTTGACGGCTGAATAGAGAATAGAATTAACACAAGTACGGGTGGGGACATCCTAAAAGAAAGCTCAGTTCTTCCTGTCCTTCCTATAATGTGGAAACCATAACCAATTCCATATTTTTATTATCAGGTTATAAATACCACGATGTAGGTCCTTGGTGAAAATGACAGCCCTCTTAGCCAATGAGTATAGATGGGTGTGTGTTACAAGGAAGGAGGAAGAACAACCCTGGAGGCAGGCAGTGGAAGGAGGGAGTTCTTGATTTCTGACAGAGGTGCAGTTAAACTTGAACTACAGGTCACCGGGAGTGTTTGTGTTGGGGGAGATGAATGGTGGGTCCTGAGGCTAAAGGAAGAGATGGCCAAGGCAACAAGCAGAGTGTGTGCTAGGTGTTCTGCAAGGATGTCAGAGGAAGGCAGTAGCAGGGCAACTGCTACTTGTGGCATTCACTGGAGAGGAAGCTCCAGGTGGCACATTAGCTGAGTTGCTTTTGCTTGTTCAGCATGTATCTGGTACTCACCTTATACTCAGTGCTGAGTTTTTCCATACAGTGTTGTCAGGAACCCATCCCGACATGCATAGATAGCTAGGGTAAGAAGGAGCAGAAAGGCTGCAGTGGGTGTGACATCTCATAAATGGAACTTACCAACTGTGTAGAAGGGGAAGGGCCATGTGCACATTTGTACATATTTAGATGGTTCCAGGCAGCTGGCAAAAACTCAGCCATCTCGGAGGTAAAATGTGCAGGTCAGTAAATACTTAGTAATTTTTAAATGTGAGCTGAGAGAACTCCACAAACATAGTCCCCAGCTCCCAATCAACCTGGAAGTACCACAGGCCTCTAAAAGTACTACTGCCTTGATAGATGTATGTGTCTGAAAATACATTTTATTGTATAAGTGATAGCCAGACTTATAGTGGTAATTCCACAGAGAGTAGAGTAGAACCAGCCAATCCCCAACCCACCTTTCAAGCTTGTTCCTTGTTGTCTTTGCAGAACGGCAGAAAGATCTTTATGAAACCAGATTGGGTGGTGCATGGGGGCATCTGTCTGAGTTTTGGTGGACAGTCAGTCTACTAGTCAGTCGTGCATATACATGCAGCTGTCTGCTGTGCTGTGGACACAGATAGACACTATCCCCTTCCAATGGCTGGGTGGTCCAGACTTGATTCTGAGCAGAGAAAACTGATTTCATTGATATTTTGTGACAAGAAGCCCAAAGAACAACTGGAAGTCATTTAATGGCTTGTCTTGACAGACGACTTCCACTGTGGAGACACAAACAGATTTAAGGAAGTGCATTGCAGTTTAAATGTGTGACATTAGTATTCACTGTCCTGTTTGTTTGCCTTTTTTTTTTCTTTTAAGGTAGGAAAAGTTGTTCTTTGGACTGAGTTAAATGCTACTTAGCATAAGAAGCTCACTGTGGAACAGAGCATGCAGACTGTGACTAATTGACACACAGTGGGCTAATGAGAAGACAGACTCTCTCTAATCAGCAACAGCAAATGCTCACAAAGGCTCTCTTCCCTCCTAGGACTTCCTTTGCTGGGCATCTGGCCGGCATTCTCGTTGGACTGATGTACACACAGGGGCCTCTGAAGAAAATCATGGAGACATGTGCAGGTACAGAACAAAGCACCTGTGGCCTGGCAGCAGGTGGAAGCTCATCTTCTGACGTGTACATAAGCAGCCCCAGGATTCCTTGCGGTTTAATTTAGAAATGTCCTAACATACTCAGACTTCTCTTTAAACCTAGAGATAACAAGACGGCCGTCTATATCTTGCATTGCCCCACGAATGAGACTGGGACCCCAGGTTTGTATTCTGAGGTGTTCTTAAGGAGCAAATGCTGGTGTAGACTTATACCCTCAGCCCTAATGAATTCACACAAAACCGCAGTCTTCCTCAAAACATTAGTTTACAATAACATATTTTTCTATAAGATTCTTTGAATTAGTAGACATGCCTGGAAAGGTTACAGAAAGAAATCAAGCGTAGACAGGAGTAGAGGGCCAGTAATTTGAAAAGTACTGAATGACCACTAGGCCCTTGGTGGGCAAGGCATTCCATTCACAGGAGGCCCAGCCACGTCATTAATCTCTTGAGATTTGGTCCACGTTTTTTATTTTCCTTGCCCTTTTTCTTTGTTTTCTCCCCCTCTAAATTGATGTTCAATGAAAATGTTTTATTTAGTAGTGAATGCATTCAGACCCTTTAATATAAAACACGGTACTGATTTTGACTTGTAAGGCAACTATTCTGCAAACACTTGTTTTATAGACCATGCACATTCTAATACTTCATCTTTTATTCATGGGAAATCTTCTGAGACTATTTTACCTTTTCTTGAACCATAAATAATTTGTTTTCACAGTTTGTGCCGATGACTGTTGTTCTTGAGAACCATATAATATTCATGGCATTTGAAAGCTTTCTGGGTACTGCTCCACAGCCTTTATTGGCAGGTTTTGTTCACTTTGGGGTGGTTTTTACAGATTGGGCTGCATCTACACAGTTTCCAATTTCCACACATTTGCCTGTTACTGTGTGTGTGCTAACAGTGCCCACTCTATCCTGTTCTCCACACAGTTTCACAGTGCTTCTTCCCTAATGAATACTGATAAAGGAGGAAGTGCATTGTCTTGATCCACTTTCTTGTGTTTTTACATAAAGTGGTTCTTGAAACTTTCTGTGGACAAACTACAAAATTTAGACACATGGTTGGTTTAATTTTCAAAAAGGATTTCTTCCCTACAATTGTAACATTTAGCCGTTTATTTATCATTATCATTATTATTGCCTTAGGACAATAGCTGTTTTATGTGCAGACATTTTTTTACACCAAACTTTTTTTTTTAAGTGACACAAAAGAAAATTAAGTTTGAAAGACAGCTTGCAAATTGGTTTCTGGCGAAAGCAGAGAAAAGATATGTAGTGAACCTAGAATTAAAGTAACCCAACAACTTGTAGAAAATAACCAATAGTGTAGCCTGCTGTTTTATGCTTCTGAGGGAAGTGGGTTATCCTGACAGTATGCTCCAGGCCTCTCTGTCTGGTTTACCTGTGTCAGGGTAGGAATGCAGTTCTCTTAATACCAGTGTTGGCAGAAGACTTTTTCCCGCCACAGAATCTCTGGTTTTACAATGGCTTCCAAGTCAAAGCCTGATGCCTTGCAAAGCTGAAGTCACCTAAGACCTTTAAGGAACCCTGGTGCACGTAAATTAGGGTTTTAACAGCCTCCTCCTGCCCCCATACATACACACACACATACAAACACACACACACACACACACTCACACACACACACACACACACACACACACACACACACACACACACAGTGTTTGCTAAAAGGTTGGCCCTAAACAAAGGAAGTTTGTTTTATCAGTTGTTTAAAAATCATTTGAAGTGACCCTGGGCTTTCTTATGAAGAACTGTATGACTGTTGGAAGGTTAGCTGTTAAAACTTGATGACCTCTATTTAAATGTTGGTTTCCTTCATGTTTAGGCATTCTTATCTCCAATGCTGGGCCTTCAGGACAGCAGTACCACTTTAGTAATGCAGGTAAGTTCGTGTCATTTAGTACATTTCACTGGTTTTAAAAACTACATATTTTAGAGCCTGGAGCTGCTTTAGGACACCATTCATTTTGGATGCGGAACAGCTCACATGGCACACAACCGTACCTGGATTCTTCTGGGAAGCAGAATGAGGTGTTGGTAAACCAGCGTGCATCAGATGGGTTGTTAAGGAAGACTAAGGAAGACAGTAACTCTGGCATGGTCCAATTGTCTGATTGTTGTAAGACCTCTTGTGTACAATAGAGTACATATTACCCCCAAGTCACCCACGAGTCCCACTGGCAGAGCGTAAGGATTCATCACAGGGATATAGTTCCCCAGTTATCCCATCTCCACATTCAGGAAGGCTCTAAGTTTCTCTGATATGCTAAGATGGGCTTTAATACTATTCAACTGAAAGAATAGAATATATTTTTTCAGGATTTCTCTACAAAAAGATGGAAAGGACTTCCTGTCCACACCTAAGACTTGTTTTCAGCCACAACCTGTCTATTCCTACCTGGGAGAATATATCAGCTTTAAAGAAAACGTTTATTTAACTGACAGCTTCGAATTCAAGAACATGGTCCTGGCTTCAGCCCAGTTCTAGTGATGCTCTTCTTTGCAGAAGAGTCCTGCTGTAGCACATAGCATCTCATTGGCCAGAGACAGGAACAAATGTGATTGTGTGTGTGTGTGTGTGTGTGTGTGTGTGTGTGTTTTGTAAATCCAGTAGGACTGGATGGTGAGCTACACACTATAAAGGGCCTGTCTCCCACAGCTCAATCAGATTAAACATGTAGCCGCTTCATACCGATTACCGATTAGCTCTACAACTGAAGACTCAACTCCTGCATAAAAGGAGAACATGGGTATTTCGGATGGGTGGGTGGGTGGTTCAGGAGTAGGTGCTGGATATCGTAATGCAGTGGACTGAATGTGTCTCCCTCTAGATTATTATGTTGAAATCCTAGCCCCTTAGAAATGGGTCCGTTGATATGAAATCAAATCACAAGGCAATGCTCCTGTTATTTGCCCACATTAGAAGGACTCTAGAGAACTCTCTTGGCACTTGCTCTTTTGAGTGTGCAGTTGGCAGCAGTCAGTAGATGGAAGAGAACTCTCAGCAGAACTGAAGCTGACATCTTAACTTGGACGACTGCAACATGTTGTAAACAGACCTTTGGCTACTTTACTGGGTTCTTTTATCTTTACCACCCTTCTTCACCCCTATGCCTTCCAACCACCCCCCAACACTAGGTATGAGAGAAAGAAGGTGAGAGGGAAAGGGGCGCCAATCTCATTAGGCTATTTGCTGCTGATTAGGTAAGTCAAATCAGGGATGTCCAGTTTCTTCCCTTCTTTGGTCATGACCACTGGACAAACTTCTATCTATAATAACAGCAGCAGCAGCAGCAGCAGCAGCAGCAGCAGCAGCAGGGAGAGCAGCAATCAAGCCTCTTGGGGCTCAGGCATTTTTATACCCTCTCAAGAGTCCCCAAATGGAAACTATTATCAGCTGATAAAGTCATACCCCTGCTAGACCACGAGACAAATCATAGTAAGCTACTGAAGCAGCCCCATAACTGACACCTGGGCTTAAAACAAAAGCATAATCACGTAACATTTCTGAGGTTTTAAACAAATCAAAATTCTCACCACAACACGTGTTCATTTACACACTTTATAGTGATACTATTTAACAATGGCCATAGATTAGATTAGAGGCTGGAAGCCTTTTGTAGGAAGTACCAAATAGCTGGTATTTTAGGCTTTATTATGCATTTGGCTCTGTTCTAACTAGCCAGCCCTTCCTTATATCATGAGAGCAGGCATTGTCTTATGAAAGTAAACCTTGTGTTGGATTCACACAGTGGGTTGTAGTTTTGTTTTGATTCCTTGCTTACTTAGATGCCTGTAACAGGTACAAAGAATTGTTGCTAATCCGTATCTGATGGTTGATCTTGGCTGTCAGTCTGACTCAATTGAGATCTGCCTAAAAGACTGGTAAAGGGCATATCTAGGCATGTCTATGAGGTCATTTCCATACTCAATTAACTGAAGGGCACAACCTTCTTTGAGTGTGGGTGATAACATCCAGTAGGCTAAAGACCACTTGAAATAAAAGAGGGAAAAGAATCAAGTCCACAGGCATAGGCTCCCTCCCTCCCCATCCCTCCCTTTCTCGTCCGTCCCCCCTCCACTTCTGTGCATCTTGGGCTCCATGAAGTGAGCATTTCAGCTCCTCTGCTTCTTCACCATGACAACGGCTCTGCCTTCCCACAGACCCACAGTAGTAGGGACAGCAGACACACACTGAAACCATGAGTCACAATAACACCTCCAACCTTTTAAGGTGCTCTCTCGGGTATTTGCCACAGAGATGAAAAAGCTAACACTTTGTGCATGTAGTGTATGCATATATACACACATGCACCCACACACACACACACACACACACGTAGACACACATATATACATATTTATTACTTTGGGTTTATTTTCCCATACAATGTTATTAAGTCACAGACTGTTTTATTCAGCAGCACCCCATAAAGGTCACATAAAACAGAATGCTGTTATAGACCCTGTAAGAGAAAAAAAAAACAAAAACAAAACCAGCAGTCCCTCTCTTAGAGTATGTAGTGGAGGGGTAAGTTGTAGGTGTGGATATATAGGATGAGTATATAGGTGTGGATATATAGGATGGGTATGTAGTTTGGATATTTATAGGTGGGTATATAGGGGTGGGTATATTTGAGAAGATAAAACAAAAGAGACTACAGGCGAATTGTATGAAGATGAAAGCCGAGCCGTAGTGTAGCGTAGGTGAGCAGCTAACAATCTAGCTAGCGTTTGTTGGATCTTCACCTACCCCTGCTGGTCAGGTTGCACCCCCAGCTCTCCTGGAAGACTTGTGCATTCAGGGAGTCTTCTCTGCCCTCCTTTTCCCACTACACCATGCAGCCTGGAAAGTGCCCTCACTTCCCTTTCCCAAGCATTCACAACCCTGTAGGACCTATTATATAAAGGCCGAGGTTCATTTTCACATGTTTTATCCACTCTGCTAATAGATTTCCTCAGAGGGTTCACCCTCCCCTACTGCATCTTCCAGGCAGAGGTCCAGACAGCAGTATTGGCATGCAGGCAGGTGTCAGTGCTCTGGGAAGGAGGGAGAGTTGCTGACCATGAGGCTGCACAGAGGAAGAGTGGAATGCTGGGTCTTGACATGACTAGAAGTTAAGGAAAGCAGTCACAGAGAGGACTTCCCATGGAGAGGAAGGAGAATCAGAAATGGCCTGTTGGGCATTGCCCAGAGTGTGCTGGGAAGGTCCTGAAGTGCTAAATCCATAGTGTGATAGTCTTAGAAGTAATCGGGCTCCGTATTCCCCAGAGTACTCAAGCCTTGCCTCATGACTTCAATGCTGGCTTACTCTTACATCATGTATGAGTCAACTAAATAGCCTGAAATTCACCCAGATAATGAGGTCAGAAGAGGAGGACTGGGATCAACCCACTACACACACACACACACACACACACACACACACACACACACACACACA